GGAGGAGGGAGGGGGTGGGGGTGGTGGTGGTGGTGGGTTAAAGTTGGGGTTAAGACTCACAGCAGGGGATTTAGAAGCAGCTGCAGTGGTGATAGAAAGACAGTGGCAAGGCAAGACGACGGGTGAGAAAAATCTATACTGACGATTTAGCAACAGAGGTTGTAAAATGCTGTCGGGCGTCTGGAGTCGGCTGTATGATGTTATGATTGATGACGGTTGAGGTTGAGAGAGGGTCGATGCATGCAATGAAGGGCAAGGGAAGATTTGCGGAAGGGGGAAAAAGGGAAGGGAGCGGAAAAACACCTGCGGAAACGCAGTACGGAGCACAGCCTGGGTACTGTGGTGCTTCCCAACCAACGATGGAATACGCGGTGCTGAGTCAGCGGTATTATAACCAGGCACCCGGTGGCGGAAGAATGTTATTCCACATGCACTGCAGCCAATCACATCCCTTGCCACTTTCCCTGTCTCGGTAAAGGTTGGACTCGGTAGCTAAAACTCTGTGCTGTAATTAGTTGACGAGTTAAAGTTACTGAGCTAATAATAATTTGTTAGTAACACTAACTAACTAACTATCAACGAAACGAACTAGTTGGTTAACCGAGCCAAACAAAGTAGGTTAAACTGCGGTTTACGGGTGCGGTGCCCCAGCTGTCGCAGCAAATAATCACAATAGCTTGCGGAATAATTACATGATGACATCGCAGGTCGGATAATGAAACGGGATGTATCAGCAAGGTAAAAAAAAAAATGTAAATGAGAGACCGGTGTGTGTCTGTGGAGATGGATTCAGATTTACCGGTTCCGGCTGTTGTGTTTACTCTCCCTCTTTGCTCTCTGCTCTGCTCAGATAGGGGATCTGCCAGAACATTCTAACGTGTCCATACATAGTTACCCTCCCATTGGTAAACTCTCTCTCTCTTCCCCACACGTGCTGTATTTTACGCCCGATACGAAGAATAACAAAAAAAAAAAAAAAAAAAAAAACCCCGATGTGTCGGCATCACGTGGTCTGGCGTCATCGCTTCCAGCTGCCAACCCGTAGTAAAAAGCTGCGATCTTGATCTGGGATGTTATGGGGTTGGCTTTCGGGCTTGTACGAGGCTGCACGATCGTTGGAGCGGCTTCTTCTTCCGTTGGGCTGCCTCATCTAAAGGCGCCCTTGGTGTCGAGGCTTTCACCAGAGGCAAGTTTGGGACCATTCAAGGAGCTACCAAAGTTACCACCATTTAACTATATGCAAGGACTAAACATACAGCCGACGGACGATTCTGCTGCACATTGCCTCTCTGTCTTTGACGATCCCTGGTGTATGCGGGAGCATCCCGGCAGGGTAGTAGTGTGTCTCCTGCTACTACGGTTCAGGGAACTCAGACGTCGTTCATTGACACGGAGTTGGCATCTTTTTTGTGAAGTTCTTCGATTATTTTACCAGAGTAATATATATACACAATGCCCTTGCCTCAGGGCATATATATATCTGCCCCAGTCCTGAAATCTGGAAGAGACAGTGCAATCTCTATTATCTAAGTCTCCTGCCTGTGGGACAAGTTGGGCAGAGCTTCACGATGAAATATATTGTATTCATCCCCGGAGGATGCCTAGTTGGCTAGGGGCTGTGTGGAACAAGGCTGGCGACGGCATGCTGTTTCCATTCCGCGCAGACCTATCCAACTTCATTTCTCTTTCTTTCCTTCAACATTTTGGTTTACTTTCTCTGTTGCTTGCTTCCTACTTCAAAAAATTCCAAGACTTAAGACTGGCTGCCTGTCATGCCGAGGTTGAAACCCTACAATATACAATTGGAGGTCTTATTGGGCTCTTCCTTTTTCTTTATTTTTATAATTTTTATTTTTTTTTATTTTTATTTTTTTTTTCTTTATTGAATGCCTGTCTTAATTCTGTATTAACCTTGATTTCATTGAGTGAACTAGCTAGCAGCGGTGGAAATGCAAGGCACGTCCTACTCCTCCAAGGAATGCGTTTTTCAAGTTTCGCCCACCCAGGGTCCCAGAGGCTACGTCGGCCTGGTTGAGAGTATTATCTTCCATCCGTGGAGTGGCAGGCCAGTTCAGAAGCTAGAAAATGCGATGTCGGGTATCCGGAGATACCGCATACATATCATGCTTTTTTTCCTGTAGGAGGATTGATTCTATTACCCCCGGGCAGGGGGATGTTACCATTTGATACATCGAGAGTATCAGCTTGTCAGCACGACGGGAGAAAGTCTTCATTGCTGTAAAACCGACGCAGAGAATATGGGGCTAAGCCGTCAGAAGCTTGAACGCCTGTCGTTTCCTCTCTTTATTTCTTTCTCCTTTCACTTCCTTTGTTACATTGTTCAAAATCTTCTCTGTATCAGGAACCGGCTTAACTGGGGTTCGCGAGTCGATGCTTCGCAACTGCTCTACCTCCCCTCAACTTTTTCTTTGTCTTTGACCCTTCCACGTTCTTCGGATTCTCTATATAATTGACCCTCACGTTCTGGCTGGATGGCTTCTGAGATCTCCCTTAGAATGGAACTGCATGCGTGATGCTCTTTTGTGGAAGATAGGTGTGTCGACCTTTTGGAAATGTGCCCCTCGTTGATGGGCGTTGGAAATATATGCTCGTCAGCACGGCATTGCTGCTTTACATTCAACCACCCATGTATAACTGTACACGATCTACGAACATGGGATTAACATAGATTTTCAACAGACCATCGAAATGTCGAAAAGGCAAATATTTCCCAATGCTTTGCCCGTGGTGACGACTGAGAAAAGACCTTCCAACATGCAGAGCGCCCGAAAATTTAAAGAGAAAAAAGGAAATTAAAGAAATTCCGAAGATCCGAAAAACGTGGTCTTCCCCCCCCCCCAAAAAAAAAAAGATCTTCATGAAGATCACGTCAAGATGCGAAGCCCACGAGTGCGTCCGGTGTAAACTATGGGGCACCACGTGTTGACCAGGAGGCCAACCTTCTTTGAACTTAACGGCTTACTATTCCATCGGGTTGTCTGTGTCTCAAAGATGGTGAAACGTTTCCCAATTGAAAATTATATAAATGGACTTGTTAGACCCAAAGGGGAAGATTACTTTACGGGTAGTTAACCGGGCACAGTTACCAGCGGAATTTATCCCACAGGACTCCGTTTCTTTGTCCCGCTGGAAAATCTTGTTCAGCGAATTCTCATTTTTCTTCAAAGAAATCGATCTCAAACCCTCGTTAATGACCCGATCCCGCTCTAGTTACTGCGCTGGCCACAGCGGTTCCTGAGAGATGACGGGGATTGCGACTGTTGTTGTTCGGTGGCATCGATGGGCAGTAAGTTTGATATGTGAAAGTTCAACTTCCACTGGCATCAGCATCAGTTTAAGCTTTCAATAGTTTGCCGCCTCAAGAGGACAAAATGATTCAAACCGCTTATAAAAAGAGAGGGGCAACACGAGAACCTATTATCCATTCCCTCAGGCCGTCGTACTTCAATTCCAGCACACAGGCCCATGGTATCCTCTTATTCAGTATACTACCGTCGAAATTTAGTGTTCAATGATTCGCATTATGCATTTATTTTCGATCCAAATAACTACCAATTGGTTCGGTTACGCAAACGTGGATAAATATTATTTATCTGCATTCTACGGGATGAATCAATCCTCAGGGCTCGAGCGCAGCCCAAGCACCCAAAGCACTGCTCGTTCATGCATCGTTTTGTCGTGCATCTCCGAGTTTCCGACTGGGTTGGGGGAATAATTATTTCTCACTGTCGGAAGCAACAACCACAAAATTAACTCCCCGCCACTAATAATCCAGCCAACGAAGGAGAATTGCGATTCAGGCTAGTTGTTTCGATCATTTCTTCTTCGCAACAAGCCACAAATCTCACAGGGCCTTTCTTTTTCGTTTTACGACCGTCAATTTTCCAATGTCGAGGGAATTGTTGAACAAGGCCCGGATGGAATCCATAAATAGCCTGTCCAACCCCATCATTTGTTTTATTTTAGTTTATTTTCCTTTTTTTTTTATTTTTTTTTTAAAGAAAAACCCACGTTTCTCATTCAGATTGCAGGCTTGGTTTGCATAAACCACCTTTCTCACCTCTGCTTTGTCTCACGCCTCTATCGATCGCTTTATTCTCCGTCATTTTTGCCCAATACAGAAAACAATCTGTCAGGATGAAATTCGACCTCTCCACGGCTCTGGTCTTGGTGCTCGGGTTTACCGCGGGAATAGCAACTGCACAGGGTAGGCGGGTAGATCTGTGCAAAGAGGGATTTCACGTACGTTTCTAACCGTTCTGCGTCGCTACTGGTCAACTACATTTCAAGTTGCCCATGGTTTAATTAACAATTTATTGTTCTAGTGTAATAAAGATATCGACTGTCAGGCAGATCCGGATTGTCAGCGTAAAGCAGAGGTATGTGTATATCCGGAGCCACTGCCCTGTCCCGGCTTCTAAGGCGGCCCCGGAGAATATATCTACATGCAGGTATCTTCTATATATAGAACATAAAGCACAGACTGAATCCTTTAAAAGGGCATGGAACCGAGAATGAAGACGATCGCGATCTACTGCCATACGCTGAAGCGTCGGTGCGAGGTTGTGAGTTGGACCCTTTTGCCTTTTTTTTTTTTTTTTTTTTTCATCTAATTATTAGGAAATTATATGGCAGGACTAACCTTTTGCAGGCATGGCCTCTAAAAAACTGAAACGGGAGAGATATGGGGTTGGTCAAATATGAGTTTGTTGGTTAACTAGGGAAAGGGTGTTTTTCACCAAAATATCAACTCGATTGTTTATTTTCTACGGAAATAATAATATAAGAGCTTCTCATTAGGTTAGATGATGGACTGGTTATGAATCACAAATATCCAGCGCCCATGATTTGACAAAGTTGGAAAGGAAACAAAAACCACAGGACATAGCCTGCAGAGGTAGTTCCTTGGTAAATCTACAAGTCAAGAATGGAGATTTACAATCATTGCGATCCATGCAACGTATGAGAGACTGAGATATAACGCTATGCAACCTTTCTCGGTTATTCCAAAAGAAATGCATCTCTCTCCCCCAGTTTCGGTACCCTTTTTGCAGGACATGCCTACAACTAAAGGGACTTTGAAATCCCTGTTCGTGGGCGCATTCATGAATCGTTCGCTCTGCCGTTTTCGAGTCAAATTTGCAGAGAATATAATTCCACCTTCCAGAGTGATATTATTCCTTCCAGAAATATCCTTCATATCTCAAAGTGAGGTGAATTCTCGTCTTCACAGGAGCAGTGATGCTCGCGACCAGAGGAATGGTTTTTACAGCAGGCCTGCAGGGACGGTCAGAGAGCTCAAAGCCTTCATCTTAAGAACAGAGGTATATTTTTCAACGCTGAGGTATGTCTCCACGCTTCTTCATAGTCTAGGCCGTACGTTGGACTCCGTGGGAGCTATTGTTTCTGTCAAAAAGGAGCGGTGGGGAGGTGAAGGGAGAAGGAAGAGAAGGACCGGTTTCGTCTAAACCAAGCCAAAAGAAGGGGAGAAACTTCATCTTATCCATATGCGATGCCAGTGTTCTGCATACTACTTCGGAACCGTACATACGGAGAGCAGCTAGCCCCGCAGTATTGTGTCCTTTCCAAGGTATTGTCGATAACCGCTCCGACAGTAATCCTCCGCCGTTAAAAGCAGAACGAAATAGAGCTCTTTGTCCAAGTACAGTACAGCCAGTCGAATGCTCGAATGTCGGATTACATCGTCGAAGCATGTTGGCAAAGAACCCGTACTAGAGGTTGCCTAGGTAAGTATCAACCAGCGTTGCAGCTCGACAGATATCCATCGCAAGTCGTGCATGCAAGAGTTGCGATTGGCATCTCATTCTTCCAACTGTTTCCTGCTCCTTCGTTAATTCCACGTCCTATAAAGCGGCCCCTGGATCCCGCCGGGTATCGATATAATAATCATTCTTCCGTCTACGAAGACCAGATTGTCACACATCCTGCCTCGGGGACTTTCACTCCATCAGGCATACAATCTGAACGTGAAGTTCATTCTCCCCTTCGCAGCTGCCATTACATTTGCAATCCCCCAAGTGCTGGGTGCCCCAGTTGCTTCGCCAGGGAGTGTTTCGCAAGCACAATGTATGGTGGTGGTATGTCTTAGACACCCTCTAGTTATATACGCACTGCTGTTCTCTTATACATCGTTATTGCCACTAGCAGTGTGTTCAATGCGATCGAAAGACTGATCTTCTGTCACATTGAGTGTTCCCCCTGGGACAAATACAAGTGCAGTAGGTGAGTAGCAAACTATCGAACCCAAGTCTCCAAAACATGGACCTCCCTTCTAGCCAACAAAAAAAAAAAAAAAAAAAAAAAAAAAGAGGACGTAAAATACTGACTCCCCAAAGCTTAAGAGAACGAAACGAATATATCCTCGCTTCATTGAATGTGGTTCTGCTTACTTTTATTATATCTGCAAAAGTTGTATGTTGCTCTGTCTTCTTCATCACTTCACAAATCTCTCTTTCAATGAGGATTATGGCTCATTCTCTGAGGATTTGTTTTCAGAAATAACCCCAAGATCCTGCTGACTGAAAACCATCTTCCGGTCGTTAGAGAGTTATCTGATTTCGTTGAATGATTGATGTAGTTCCAGGCTTGCTGTCGCTCAGAAACTGTGGACACTCGGGGCACAAACATAAGCAAGCATATTGCTCCGGTCTTTCGGTTATAAAGTGATGGTTCACCTTCTTAATTCATTCCAATGATTCATTATGCTCCAGTTCGCAGATTTTTTTTTTTTTTTTTTTTGGTTTGGGGGGTGGTTATTCTCTCCGCCGCTTTCTTTTCTTCATTCAACTACTAAATCATAAGGTCGTTCCACGGAATCCCTATCTATTTCCTGTACATACATCCACAAATCAAAGTAAGTACACACAATCTTAGTATGGACGTACGTCCTCCTCCTCTGACAAAGAAAAAGATGCTCACATCCGCAGGTGTTGTACAACAGGCGGTAAGTTATTCGTCTTGCAGGATTTTCCCAGTGAGTGAAGGAAGAGCAATCCTCACCGCCGCGAAGCATTCATTCAGGCTATCAAGCCGTGCCACTGATAAACAGGAGCTTCCATACCGCGGAGCGATGGTTGACAATTCTCCAAGATTAAAAGAGGGAAATGGAAAAGGGGGAAAGGTAAACTGGAAACCCCCGTTGCTCTGGGGGAGGGTGAGTTCCCTTCCCAATCACCTGCCTGTCAAGTTGAGAGAGGCTTCAGTCTATGTTGTCCTTCATTGATATGAGGTGAAAACGTTCTGACTGACAAGCAGCAACGTCGCAGCAAACCATACTAGAAGAACGAGGAAGAAATTAGAGTGGGAATAACGAGGCAGACCTGACGACTAGTCTGGTTACTTTTCAATTAGTCGCCAGTCTAACATAGAGAGTTGTCCTCTCTGGCAGATAGCCCCGTTACCCGTCGATGACAACACTCCGGGCGGCAACCACCGCAGCGAGGGTTAGAGTAAACAAGGACTGGCTGCGGTTGGTTAGCTCTTTGTGACGATGTCCAAGTGCCAGGGATATGATTGGCGCAATATTTCCGGCACAAATCAATATAACGCTTGGATGACCGATGAGATTCTGGTTTTAACTGACTTTGTAACTAACCGCGCACCGACTATTAATTTCAGCCCTCATATCTCTCTCCATATTGGAAAGTTGCCGCAGAAAGCCCCTGGCTCGTTCCGCTCTCTTCATCAGTTTGCGCGAACGGGGCTGAACATGGTTTAAAATCTCAGCTGGAAATGCCTTCCCCGTGGTTTATAAACAGTTACCCTCTCATTAAAATTACAGACACTAGTCACATCTCACATATCTCTCTACGCTCTTGACGGGTGATTCTATCATATTTCTCAGCCCCCACCCTTAACTAACCCTTAATCCTAATCCTAATCCCAATCCTAATCCTAACGCTGGTATGGAGGGCTGTGAGGTTGAAGAGAAATGTAAACATCCACATAAGATTTCACAAAACCGACGATTTATTTGTTTTATTTTCTTCAATTCTTCTTCTGTGCTTGGAAACGTTTGATGCAAAACATGTTTCAAAATTCACTTTTGTACATAATTTGGCCGGCAGAAGCCATAAAAGAAAATAAGGCGCAATCAGATATTTCACAGTTATAAAACGCTGGGTGAAATCCGCCGAGAAAGATTAAAGATCAACGTATCAATTTTTTTTTTTTTTTTTTTTTTTCTTCTTCTAAGAGAGACCTTCTACAGACCGTCTTGAGTTCCTGCTCTTATGAAATAGGAAGTTAGGTTTTTCACTTTAAAATTCAAATTTACAGTCAATTAAGAAGAAACGTTATATTAAAGTAGAAGACCAATTATCTCCTTCGATGTTGATAATATATCATTGTTTTATATTTAGATTATTTGAAATAATCGTCACTCTTATCAAGTGTTTGTTTGTCATTGCTTAGTGATGATCTCCATCTCATATGACAGAACTGTAACTTACAAATGAGATGTTATGCGTGTATCAGTGCTGAATCAGATCTCTTATTCATCTGGCAGTCTAACACATTCTCAGGTCTGATATATGCGGTATATGCTCTGGCAGGCTTTCATGACGAATCCGAGCCTGCAACACTGGATGTGATTGATTGAGTGATTGTGTGTGTCCAATCAAACTCATTATTTAGCAATTGAATAACTAGTTACACCAGGCCAGCGTCAAGTTTGTCAACAGCCCAGCATCTATCATCTACACAGACGCAGCATTTGCTGATGACACCATCACTTGAAGGAGCTCAACAAGGAATGGTCTTTAACGCTTTGCAGAAGGGTTGGTTGATTGGAAGTTAGTCAAGCAGCAGGCTGTTGGCCATGTCTCCAACAGAATCTACACACTTCTGGCCCTATCTGAAGCAGCAAAAAGAGGCAATTTGGTGGGAAAGAGTCTATAATCAAATTGGTCTTGGATAGCTACCCAATAACTACCATCTCATTATTTAATGGTAACTGTCAAACTATCTGTTTATTGACCTCGGTCGCGCCAGCGAATCATGAATCTTACGCCATACTGATTGATATTCATAAACACACTCACTGGCTTCCCGAGCATGTAGCTTCCAGGCGTTTAGCAATCCAATGGGTGGATACGAAATCTATGATAAATCTATGATCACTAACATTTTGACGACGGTACTACGGGGGTCAGAAACACGCTAAATTCATGTAAATGCTAGAATTGGTTGATATAAGCGCCCTTTGTGTTTCCTGATCCAATGGGCTTTGCTTGTTTATTTTATCTCGGGATTGCCACGATGTTGCACGATTTTGCAGCGGTTATTTCAGGGTATGTCAAACAGGAGCTCGCCATGTAAAAATATCCACCTAAAATACCAATAAAACTGACTCTTTAATTTAATATATATAGATATATATCTCCTTCAATTCTTCTGTGCTTGGAAATGTTTGATGCAAAACATGTTTCAAAATTAACTTTTGTCCATAATTTGGCCGGCAGAAGCCCTTAAAAGAAAATAGGATAATCGGATATTCCACGGTCATGAAAATCCGGGTGTAATCCGCAGAGAAATTAGAGATCAAAATATCAATTCAAATATCAATTCAGTAGTTTTCACTTTTCAGACATGAGATTCAACGCTATTCCCGTTTGATAGTGAGAGTATTATTATACGGTGTGCGGTGTTTATTTTAGACGAAGGGACCAGAGTTTATCATGGGTTTAAAAGTAAGCCGTCCCCATCTCAGAAACCATGTTCAGTTTTCTTCAATCCACGCTCAATGTAATCTCCATCGCCTTAATAACATCTGCCTACCTTCCTCCCACATTATCATGTCAGCAAAACCCCGGCCGGCGGAGAAACAAAATGCTCCCACGTCAGCCTTCCATGTTCAAACTCTTCACTCTCATTTCACTCATTCTCGTCGGCACGATCTCCATCTTCTCATATAAGAACCGAACAGCTCTCACCTCACGCAACGTCACATCCTTCAAAAATTTCCTGTCATCACCATCCACCTCCTCGAAGCCCATCCCTGAGAAAATCTGGTACAAACTCGGGGCGAAGGGCATTTCCCCTAAAATCCAAGAATGGACGGCCACCTGCATATCGAAAAATCCCACCTATGTCACAGAATTCCTTACTGACGACTCTGCCGACGAGTACGTAAAAATCCACTTCTCTCACCGCCCGGACATCGTCGACACCTACCTCTCCCTCCCCATCCCTATCCTCAAGGCGGATATGCTCCGCTATCTTCTTCTGATTGCGGAAGGGGGCGTCTGGAATGACCTCGACATAACTTGCGGAGACATCCCGATACGTGACTGGATACCTGAACAATTCAAGAAAGATGCAAACCTAGTCGTAGGATGGGAATTCGATGTGGGCTGGGGCGAATCTTTCATTCGCCAATTTACCAGTTGGACCATAATGGCCAGGCCCGGCTCCAAGCACCTGGAGATGGTTGTTCATGACATTCTGGATGCAATCGATAAGACCAAGAAGAAACATAAGCTTCCCAAAACGACAGGGTTGCAGCTGCAGATGCTGGGCGATATTGTCGACTACACGGGTCCGAGAAGATTGACAAGGAGCATCTTCAAAAGTCTTAGTGAAGACTTGGGCGGGGAAGTGAATGCCGGGAATGCATCGAATCTGCTAAGTCCCAAGCTGCTTGGAGACGTCTTGATTTTGCCTGGATTTTCATTTGCGAGTTCGACAAATAAATATGAGGGTGTAAAGGGGCCGGATGGGAAGGATTTTGTACCTGGCCCATCGTTGGTTACACATCATTATGCAGGGTCGTGGAGGAATGAGCATGGTGGGGAGGTGAAGGGTAACTAAAACACTAGCGACGCAGGGACTAGTGCATGCGTAGACGACATTTAAAATTGCTTTCCATGGTGTTTTAAGTCTTTTGTCAATTCGCTTGCCCTAAAATCACTTCGTAAGCTTTAAATTTAAAATTTAGATCACCGCTGAGCAACGGCAGAAACATAACTCAGCCCTTTATGAAATATAATGAGCATGGACACTCTAAAAAAAAAATAAATAAATAAATAAATAATAAATAAATAAATAAATAATAAATAAATAAAATAGTAGTTATCGGATTTAACGGATAAACGTGTTAAAAAACCGCGATCAGCTATAACAGTTGTATACAAAAAAGGAAAGAAGAAAGAGACTGAAATAATTATGTAGGCTGCAGCACATACAAGTTGTACTGGCTCCTTATGCTCTTTGGGTCAAAATGTGTAAGCCTTGGTCACAAAACACACACACACACACACATATATATATATATATATACACACACATACACACATATATATATATATACACACACACACACACACATACACATATATATACGTATATACAGCCAAAATAAAGTGTATAGACATATATGAATCAATTAGTAAAAATCTCAGCTTGTACTCTTAACCTTCTCAAATAAACGCTTGGATGCCAGTGATTGCGCGTCCGATAATCAGACCTACGGGGAGAGAGAGGAAAGCGTCAGCTTTTTACTATGTTTTGGGAAAATGCACTATATGGGGGGTTATGGGGGATGGGTGTGGAGGCAAATGAACTACTTACTATGAATATCACTTTGTCCTTCATATGTCTGGGTAACGAATAGATTTGCTACATGGCGGCCGATATGGTATTCGTCACTAGCAGCGTTGCCGCCAAAAATCTCTTGGAGACTGTGGATAGGAAATCGTGTGTGAGCTTATGTTGAAATGACGCCCGTATAAAAAAATACCAGAAGAAAAAAGAAATAGGGGGGACCGCAGGAGATGGGGGAGGGTGGGAAGGAGTGGTGTACAACATACGTTCGAGCACCGGCTAATGCTCTATCGCAATTCTGTCTTTTAATCATAGAAATCATCTCCGGGGCAGCCTTGCCCTCATCCTTCAGTCTAGAGACCTGGATCGCAGCCAAAGTGCCATACGCCGCATCAGTCGTGGCATCGGCAAGCTTCTTCTGCACAAGCTGGTACTTAGCAAGCGGGTTTCCTTTAAACTGCTTTCGCTCCAGAGCATAGGAGCGCGCTCGGTTAATGCAGTCCTCCAGAGCACCCATAGTACCAAATGCAATGCCCAATCTTGCGCTGTTCAGACACGTAAAAGGGCCCTTAAGGCCTTCGACGTCAGGGAACATGTTCGCTTCAGGGACGGGACAGGAGTCCATCTGAATCATGCCAGTGATGGAAGCGCGGAGAGCAGTCTTGTTTTTGATCGCGGGGGTCTCAAACGTGCCTGGCGGGCATTGGTCGCGCTCAATGATGAATCCCTTGATCTTGCCAGTTGTTTCGAGTTTAGCCCAGACGAGAAAATAGTCGGAGATGGGGGAATTCGTGATCCATGTTTTCGATCCGGAAATGGAGTAGTATCCTTTTTTGGTCGGGTGGGGTTTGGCGACCGTCTCCATGGAGCCTGGGTCGGATCCGTGGTTTGGCTCGGTCAATCCGAAGCAGCCAAGTTTCTTTCCCTTGGCAAGCTCGGGGAGGTATTTGTCTTTCTGCTCTTGGGTGCCAAATTCGTAGATACCCGTCATGATCAGAGAGCTTTGTACGGACATGCCGGATCGATACCCCGAGTCAATTCTCTCGACTTCCTTGGTGATGAGGCCGGAGGCGACAGTACTGACACCCGCACATCCGTATCCCTCAATTGTAGCACCTAGAAGTCCTAGCTCACCCATCTCCCGGATTATCTTCTTATCGTAGTTCTCATTTCGGTATGCCTCTGTTCATGTGTATTTATTAATATCAGGTGGTCAAATCCATTCCTGCCCGTCGTGTACGTTGTTTACTAAAGGATAGACAGCAAAGAACAAACCGAGGATTCTGGGTGCCAACTGCTCCTGGCAGTATTGCCTTGCGGTGTCTTGAATAGCCAATTCGTCCTCCGTATATAAATTTGACGCTGCCAATGGGTCTTCCCAGTTAAATCCAGCAGAGGCGTGTGCGTATCGTCGGCCGAGATTGGCTGAAATTGGGCGCTTCACAGCACGGAGGCTGCAGCAGGCTCGTCGAATGGCTAATGGATGCATCTTCTGTTGTGTACGAACGGCTGAATCGAGGAGGCCGAAAGGTTGTCAGGGTTCTGGAGAATAACCCTGTCAGTCGCAATGCATCGACCGACAGGGAACAGCTACTGGTTGCTTGGGTAAAGTTACATACCGCAAAAGACTGGGGGATTTTGCTGCACAGCGTAGTCACGCACTTTAAATGCCAGCAAGTGTCAATATGGGTTAGCCAATCCACTGATATGCAGGATATAAAAGTGAAGGGAAACTATCTCGGGTGCCGGTGTGTCGTAGCCGTAGATATGCCGTGGAGGCTGCGACAAGGGAAAAAATAGACTTCAAAAATCCCATCAAATACTCACATCCAAAGAATTAACAAGATAATTTATATGTGTGGTGTGGTTACCAGATACAAGCCCAATTTAACTGTGTGGGGGAAGAAGGAACGCGCCGAGGCTTCAGTTTCGGGTATATGTAATACACCGTCCTGGTGGCATTTCGTATATAAGATGACAATACGGCTGCCCCTGCGGCGTACGAAAATGTACTGCCGCCTCTCGATGCTTGGACCAAGGAAATCGCCGACCACCAAGACTTTGCCGGTTTTCTTCCCGTCCGGGTCTCGTGACTTCGGGCCGAGAGCAGAGCCGAGTTCCAACTTTCAAAGGGTTTTATCGGTCAGTCAACTAATGAATGAAGCGCATAACAACGCAGTCTGACGCTTGCATAACATGCATGGACAAGATGTGATCTTGATGATAGGAAGGCCTTGCAAGGCAAGGTGCTTGCTGCTATGGATCAATTCCACCCCTGCAGCATTAGCGACCTGCATCAGTGGGCAACAGCACCAAGTGTCGTTGGTCTCCCGCGCTTATTCCGCCATATTTACCATAGTTTTTATTTACCATGATTGGCGGGTGTACGTAATCCCAGTAGTGCCGAGCGTCCAAGAATGAAAATCCCCCCATCCATATGGCTCAATAATGCCAAAGAAAGAAAGTAGAATAAAATAAAATAAAAACAAATAAAAACTCAAAGTGGAAAGAGATGCAATTGCTGCAGTCGAGTTCGGTCACAGGCCGATTGTCAAGCTGTTTTTGAATACCGGTGGTTATAACCCAACACCTTGATAGCCTTATGGGCCTGTCGTCGAGGATCCAAAAAAAAAAAAAAAAAAAAATGGTGAAGATGATACCCAGCAAAACCGGGTTTGGGCTCAGAAACCAGGAGAGATGGGGTACAAGGGAAGGCATAGGAAAGGAAGAAGTCATCAAGTTGCTGCTATGCGGAGATCCAAATGCCTCGGATTTTATCGGCCGCATCCCGCTCTGGATGGAAGCAAAATCCGGCTATACGGACGCAATCAGGATCCTGCTGGGTGACCAGCGTGTATCTCCCAACACTGAATCATCCTATGGCATAACAGCGCTGGGTTAGCCGCACTCAGAGGTCGTAAGGATGCGGTTAAGCTTCTTTTAGACTATAACTGTAACGAACTGGTCTGACAGATCCCCCAGAAGTGGCATTTGATGAGGTCCAATCACCGCGTTTTAAGCCACTAACAACCCAGTTTATTCATAACTCCTCTCCAAAAACTGATCTTGATTGGGGTCTTCAAAATCCCAAAATCTTTGCATATATAGACAATTTAACCCGGAAGGAGATCCCGTTCCCAGAATTGCACAATTACAGAAACAGATAATTTCGCTCTTTAGCCGTGGACTTTGTCGGCAGCCCTACAGCTTGCTCCCATCCTCTTTCTTGACAAACCGCCACCTAACTCCAAGCATGTCAACCCATCCGTCTCCCGATGGGACGTTGAGCTCTCTAGCTCTATCGAATATCTCTTTTAGCCTTTCCTCCCCCTGCACAGCTATGGTAATATCCATGAGTCCCGCGCTTTGTCCTTCCATGCCAGGTAAGAAGCGCATACTCACATTCGTGAATTGCAGGTAATCACGATTTCCTGCAATTCCAAATGTTGCCTTCCATTGATCCAACGCGGCGTCTATGTCCTTATCCCCTGGTGCCAGACGACAGGTCACCCCAGTAAGATATAGGTCGGCCGTATTATTCATCCCCTTTGAGTATGAGCTGTAGTTCTTGCCACAGGCATGCCAGGGTGAGAACCGAGATGTAACCGGCGTTGGGTTTGCTGGTGTGGCTTCGTAAGAGTCAAGTTCTGGTATCACGCCACCTTTTGGTATTAAAAGTATATGAGTAGAATATTCAAGTGGAGCATTTTTATCCAGTGGACACAAGGTTTCGATGTAAAATCGCACCTCTGATTCCCTTGGGATGATATTGGATGCAAACACTGTCCTCGTGTTCATGCATATATATGACTTTACCCAGATCCCTTGACTCGATATGGGCACGCTGCTGTCTGGCGTCCACTGTCTGCATTATGATCATGTAGCCACCATCGCCCCTCTTTGAAAGAAGTCTGCCTGCTGTTGTGTTGGGCTTCGTGGGTGAAACAACCTAGACAGGGTTTAATACGAGGGCAGACCGTAAGCCAAATATTTTTGCTCACCTCGATAAAATCGCCCCCTATACCCACTATCATGATAAATAAGTATTGATATCCAATCGCCAATCAAATAGAATGCCTAATGACCTACCGAGAATATTCTCCAAACCCCATTTCTCAACTCCAGGGTCCACGAAAACAACCTCAGTTCCGATAACTTTTGTCTACATTAAGAATTCGGCTAAGCTTGTGAACTAGCATGTCTCATGAAAAATGGAAAGTTCTCTTCTCCCTTTCTCTTTTCCTTACCAGAAGGTGCTCTGCCCTTTTTAGATTCAGAGAAACAAGGGCTATCTGTCTGAGTCTGGTAGGGGCCGAAGTGGCAGGAGACGACATGTTAAACAGATAGTTTGGGGCAAAAATAGAGGACTGGAAGACTAGAATGAAAAACAGTAAGAGTGAAATGGTTTGGCTTGGTCGTAGCAACCGTGAATTGGCTCAAGAAGTCCAATTAATATAATAACAACAAGGACGCTTCGGTAACTACCTAGTTGACTTCCCCGCGATTCTTCAAAGTGGGTCATAGCTCTACCTAGGCAATTGCCCTCAACGCTTGTTCACGGATGACAGTAGAAAAGTTTAGTGTCAATTGACTTCAGAAAGTTCTAATATGTGGAGGGTAAAGAAGAACCATTCGAAGGGCTGATAAAAGAGGATTTGTCAAGATCCAGCTGTTGGTGATATGAATATGAATTCTATAATTCCTTGAATATTACATAACTAACTAATAAATAAATTGACTGACCGCTGACTTCTCCTTAGCTCGCCAGTACAGAGCGATAAGACATCTGTTACCAGAGCATGTGTATACCCTGAGGATGACACGTACGTTTCTGACAAGTTTTCCAGTCAACTCTTTTAGATCCACAGTTACCTTCTGCTCTCTTCAATAATATGGGCGCGGACTCTATGTTTTAATCCTTATCATCAGCGTTAGCGACGGGCAATTAATCATTTGCGAGCATCGAGTAGAAAACTTCATCCAAGTATTTGAGTCACAGAATGGCGTTCATACACTGTTAAAAAACTAATAGGTAAAAAAACATTAAATCCTTGCATCTATCATCAACCCTGCCGCCCAATGTCTCAAGGATTCTGGCGGTTTCACTTGAGGTAGTTACCGAGGTAACTTTTAGCTTCTGTTGGGTTCCCACCAATTATAAGCAAAGGCTGGCCACCACTCATTTTAATTGGTTAGATAAATTAACCTTAATCAAAATAAGGTTACTCCCGCCTTCCCCGTGAGCTTATTTCCTTGCAACAACAAACCAAATGTCTTAGCTAACACAAACCGCGTTCGCAAACAGACGAGGTCTCCCGGTCTTCCTCTTCAAAACCCGAACATGTTGTTGAATCGATGGAGTAGTTCAACATATGATTAGACGGCTCCATCAAAACCAGCAGTTCTAGTACCTAAACATGGTGGCCTGTGGGCGAATGACGGCATCGGACACAAACATCCTTCGATCGATCTCCGCATATCACTGGACAAGTCATTGAGGAAACTATGTAGAAAGCTCGGCATCCACTGATTGCAGGTTCCACACAACTTCCTGCAACCATTGTCGATTTCTACGGTGCTGGAAGGTCATTAGTATCCATTTCCCGTGATCTCTGGGGAGTTGGGGGACGGTTGCCTCTGTGAATAAAGGCTATCTCTACTTCAGAAGCATTAAACTAGACAAATGTATGATATCCAAGAGCCAAACCGAAATGTTTTTGATTGGATCTGGGTATACAGCGATACTTCAATATTGACTAACGGAAATATTTAACTGTCGTCAAAGATCCAATACAAATACAACACTATTGGAAAATTCGGAATGAATGAATAACACATTGATATTCTTGATATGGGATGGATAGATGACAACCTGCCCCTAGGCGGACAAAATTTCCGAAACATCAGAAAGGATTGTGGGCGTCAACGACGAATTCACAGCATCTCATCACCCTTCACTGAACATCTCTCGACCTCCACACTATCCATCATGCTTTTACGGTTTCTGCGCTTTCTCAAGGTCACACGCAACCGAGCCACCACAGACAGTCAACCTCGCACTTCCTCAGGCGTACGGACGGGGCAAAACTACCCCCTTCCCGGTAAGAAAACAAAGAAGAAAAAGGCATTCCCATATCAAGCCCAGACTATGAGTTTCGTTCCTCGCAGTCTACCAGTGGAGCCGCAGGAGATTGGCATGAAGCGGCCGCGTACTAGATGGCAATCACCCTTTGAAGGCTATCACGAGTGTTAGTTGCTCTCTGAGACTTCTCTATGAAGTTTCAAAATACAGAACAAACGGCGAAGGCAAGAAAAGAATGCAGGCAGGCTTACGGAAAAGGTGGACGGGGTCAAGGACAACTGAGAGTCTTGCGAAAATCCTCCCTCGCTTGTATCTGGCTGCATAATTCTGGAGGCACCTCAGCATGTCGAAAGGGGCCTTATTTCCAGTCGTGCCGCGGTAAAATCCGTTAAGAAAGCCGACGCTGCACTGAAACAAATCAGTGGCCTCTTGGTTATTTGCGTTGGCGGAGATATCGGCACAGATTCCCTTGGTTTGCTGGGCAGAGGCAACTGCGGCAGGGAGGCAATGAGGGCAGTGGAAAGTTTCATGTTGGCTTTTCTTGGTTGATGAAAAGTGGATCCAAAGAAGAGTTTCTGGGAATTCAGAATAGATATAATGGCTTGAACTTGGATGCTTGATATTCTGATGATTCCTCTTCATTTACCATGGTAAAATGGGGCTATTTATATTTGTGCTGGCGCAGGTCTTTCTCTTCTTCCTTCTCCATCTCTGCAGAACCATCCACTTCTACTCAATATTTTCATGAAGTTGGACCTTCCTCTTCAATCAAGGTTCTCATTTGGTGATGTTGATTCTTTTTCTTCAACTCCGGTTTCGGTATATTCCCACCTATCAGCTCCTCGCCCGCCCTTCCAATGGCTTCCAAATCTTTGGGATACCTATTCGACTTACATGTCTATCATGCCATCTCCAATGCGAAGTGGAGGCTGCTTTTTGAATCCCCACTCAATTTTAGAAACAATTCCTTTCTGCAGTCGGGTTTGGTTCACCCCATATGTCAATTAGTGTGGATTGCTGCAGGTCAGACTTGCCGCTTCTTCTTATATGTGCATACCGAGAGGGACACTGTCGTGGGACGAGATAGGCCACAGGTGGCAGTAATTTGGATACCGGAGGTGAGGTGTTCCCCAAAAAGAGCCTGCTGAGCTGCTGATCATTTTAGCTTGATGGGATCCGAAAATTGAGATTGCCTTCTTGCAAATGCAATTCTCACTATTTAAGAGAAACGGCAGGAGGGGGAGTGTGAGCTGAATTTGTCACTGAACAGCACACATGCAGGAAAGTGAGGCCGGAATTTTGGCCCAAATTGAAGTCAACAACTCATCTCCCCAACAGAGTTCTGACTTTGAGCCTCTTGGTAAGTTACCAAAGCTTACCTTGATGGAGATAGTTCCTGCTATACGTGTGGGCAGATGAAAGCAGATTGATTTATTTTTGGCATCTATGAAGTCCTTATGCGCATCTTGTAGGTACAGAAAGGATTCTAGACCCATTCCAGTGTCACCTCTCAGTTAGATATTACAAGGCAATGGCAAAAGGCAGAGAGCCAGTATTCCACCAAGCTCTGCTCCAAAATCAACACACTAGAGGGCCATTGATCCGTTTACTGCGATCAGTTGAGTAGCCTGGATTTCAATTTGATAGAATGTCTCCGGGCCTTGTTCGACTTTTGCGGGTATCTAAAGTGTATATCCATAACGGTCTCTTTTGAATTGAGCCACGAACAACCTGTTTTGATCTTTTAACGAGATTTTGGTTTTAACGACGATTCCTGCAAGGTTAACTGCGATGTCTTCTCCTCACGAATAACGTCAGAAGAATGGGCGATTTTCACCTCCCAGCCACCCAAGGGATGTGAATAAATGGCGTAGCGTTTAAAGTAACTTCCAAACCATGCATTGTGTCCTTCAGCCCGCCGCCACTGAGAATCGAGAAAAGTGATTTCATATTGTTTTGCAGCTGAGTTTCCTAACATCATTTTTGTCGTCTTTTCATCATATAATTGATGAGCGATTCTCTGCCCTTAGCGAGGCTAATTAATTTCCGATTCGTGCAAGAATCTCGCGCAGGATCTTAACACTCAGAAGAATATCTTGTCAACAATTTGCGGTTACAAAAAAAATGAAAGAATGAACATGCACAGCGAAGGTTGACACATCTCATAGAACGCAACTTCCACATTTCCAATAATCGCAGCAACGACAGCACAAATTTTCTGATGTATGAGAATTAGGACCTCTTAGCCTCTTGTTGAATCGGAACATTGAAAAAGCTCTGCTAGCCCAAAGACTGTGCAATCCGCATGATGTTTGGGAGAATCTGCAGTAACTAAACGATCGATGCCATTGGCTAGGTCCATTTTAAAATTTCGTTGCCTGCACGCATCGCATTTTCGGGACCCGTTTTTCGGCAACCATGCTGCTGCGAGACAAACAAAGCCAAAGGAACACTCCTCGATATCCTGCACACCAGTACCACAAACGCTCCAACCGCAGTTTGATCCGATCGCTGATGACATGGGAAAAGGACAACCTATACTACCAATCATGGATCTTAAGGATGGCAAACGCATGGTGCAGAGACTATCCCCTCACATGTGAATTTGGATAACCGTTCACAAACTAGAGCAATCGTGCACCATTTGCGTTTAAACTTTAATCCCAAGCCAATTGACTTGAAGTCAGAGGGATGATCTCCGTCTGCATGGATAGAATATTTCAGTTGCATCCCATTGGCAGGGTTTGACCTCATCCTCTACAATCTTCTGCAAAGGAGAACTTGAACAAGATTTCAAGCAATCTTTGCTATGCTATGAAGTTGACATTAAAGACTGCAACTATATAGTTAAGTCACGTGATTGGCTGATTAGGGTTCAAGGCTAAGCTGAAAACGGCATAGCACTTAAAGTTGGTTCCGCCTCGGTACTGCGCTAAACCTAATTAGGCAATATGAGATCACGAAGTCACGTGCGTTAAACGCGGTTGTTGCCTCCGACTTCGTCCAATGTCAACACGATTCAAAGTGGCCTACACCGGGGCGGAGAGGGAATTATCAGTTTCTATTCCACAACGTCTCGAAATTCACTATCCTGTGCGCTGTGTACATACCTTACTTGCTTTGGTTCTGCACATGAATTGTTTTACTGTGCTTAAGTCCCAACCTGTTAACCCACAATCGCAGAAGGGAGGAAAGGCTCCGTTCGTAAAAGAAAACGGATACACGGATCGCACACGAGTGCGCTGCTAAAGATGGGAATCAAACGCAAGTTCACTCTCAATGCTTTGCCAATTGTCTTCCATAATGCAAATGGAACTGCTTATCATGACGTGGTGCACGAAAATTTTCTGACCTTCGCCTGCATCCTTGATAGATCTATTCCAAATCATTCAGGAAAATGCCCCTGATGCAGTCAAAGCTGGTGAAATCAAAAATCATTTTGGCCGGAAGGTGGCGATTGTATGTGGATTCTATTCTATGTCTTGGTGGGAAAGTTACTGGTTACTTCCACATCTGCTGGCTTTTGAACAAAGTTGACAATTGACGTTTATTCCTTTGCTAGGATGCGTATGTAATAACTATATTATTTTTTACTCCAAGACCACGATAACTCCTTTTCCCAGGTGTGTTACGGTTTACGAATAACTAGCTAAGGGTTTTCAAACAGCTCCATGAGTATTTACAGCTTCCTCGTCGCCGTCCGCTCAGATGGCCAGCAGCTCATGAGTGAGACGGGTGAGACAACCTCACATCTAATGGGCATGTTCTACCGCACACTTCGCATCGTTGACAATGGAATCAAACCTGTTTACGTATTCGACGGTGCCCCTCCAAAGCTCAAATCTGGAGAGCTAGCGAAACGATTTATGCGCAAGTCTGAAGCGGCAGAAGCCCATGAGGAGGCGAAGGAAATTGGCACTGCAGAAGATGTGGAAAAGTTCTCAAGGCGTACGGTCAGGGTGACGCGCGAACACAATGAGGAGTGTAAGAAGTTGCTCAAACTTATGGGAATACCGTACATCGACGCCCCCACTGAGGCAGAGGCGCAATGTGCGGTTCTCGCAAGGGCGGGAAAGGTTTACGCGGCTGCGTCAGAGGATATGGATACGTTATGCTTTGATTCGCCAATTTTGCTGCGGCATCTTACATTCAGTGAACAACGGAAAGAACCAATCTTGGAAATACATCTGGATCGTGTGCTGGAGGATCTAGATATGGATAGGAAGCAAGTAAGTCAGTACTGGCAAAACTTAATCATTGCACTCTCCTCATTCCCTTTTTTTTTTTTTTTTTTTTTTTTTTTTTTCCCTTTTCTCGGCTGCTAATAGCCCACCCATTCAGTTCGTCGACCTCTGCATACTTCTTGGCTGTGACTACCTCGATCCCATCCCCAAAATCGGCCCTAACACCGCGCTAAAATTGATCCGCGATCACGGCTCCTTAGAAAAAGTCGTAGAGGCCATCGAATCTGACCCGAAGAAGAAATACGTCATCCCCGAAGACTGGCCATATAAGGATGCTCGGGAACTCTTCTTCGACCCTGACGTTCGCAAAGCAGATCACCCGGACTGCGACTTCAAATGGGAGGCACCCGATGTCGAAGGTCTGGTAAAATTTCTTGTTGAAGAGAAGGCCTTCAGCGAAGATCGAGTACGGAACGCTGCGGCACGGTTACAGAAAAATCTGAAAACAGCACAGCAATCTCGACTCGAAGGGTTTTTCAAACCGATTGCCAAGACCCAGGAGGAAAAAGCGACTTTGAAGCGCAAGCATGAGGAAAAAATAGAATTGCAGAAGAAGAGAAAGAAAGAGGAGGCCAAGGCGAAAAAGGAATCGAAATCTAAACCTAGAGGGACTGCGTGATCAACTTTGCAGGGTTAATTCTAATTCTCTTCAGCGTGTGTGTTTCGAGGTTGTAATATAGCGGAATAATCCTTTTTGTGGCGTTAGGAGGCACCAAATACCAATTGTTGGATATAACATTATCATTCATTCTGGGCGAAACACTGTCGTTTCCTAGACAATATATCAGTCGCCGTCGAAGCCGGATGTTTGGGAGGCGTGTTTTTCAATAACTGCTGCTAAGTCGAAAGATCCTAACCGATGTGACTGGCTTGGCATTTCCCCGCAAAACGATCCCGAACATCCAAGGAGGACCACGATAGAGATTCAACTCGAATAGAGCCCTGCCAATTGCTGCTCTGTTCCAACAAACACATATTCATAGCACCTAATAAACGATTTGGTTCCGTTAAGGGTGACCTATGTGCGCCTGTCTATTTCCCTAATCAACCGCCAACCAGAAAGAAAGCTGGAAGTCAAACGCGTCGGTTATGCATAACCGAGAATTTTCACGTATGGATCGGCTGGCTATTATTGAGTGCTCGTCCTGCGAGCTGTCTGAGGGGCTGTGGCGGCTAAACATCGTAGTGGCTTCCTTTCTCCGCGTTTTGTTAGCCAACCTCGGTCCTGGCTAATTCTGATTGATTAGGCATTGGTTGTCTCCTGAAGATCACCAGTCGCCTCAAATATGGTGTTACGAAACTATATATTCCAGAGTACATAGCTCGGGAAAACGAGGGGCTCTGGTGATTTGGATAATATCTGGAGATTGCGACTCCGTTGTCTTTTCTTGAGTTTAAGAGAGATCTGTGTGGGAGCCATTCGCATATTGAGGTCTTATCTCTACCATCCTTGTCTACCGAAGCCGTCAGTTTTCAACCGCTCCCAACATGCCGCAGAAGATCTACTATCACGACGGGCCGGACAAGTTTGTCGACGTGCCCAAATACGACCTTCTCACCTTTCTATTTGGTAATCTCCCACTCCCAAATCCTTCCCACCCCCCCCCCCCCCCCCCCCCAAAACAAGGGTTATTTGTGTTGATATATCTCCTGCTTCTTATATCCTGACCACCGCAAAAGAATCCGAACATGGCGCAGCAGTAGACGAGACCGTCGTTCATTTGGCCGCAGACAATCCCTCCCAAGTACTCACCAAGAAAGATCTCCGCGATCTCACGGAGCGCGTTGCCTATGGCCTACGCACCAACTATGGCATCGGTGTAAATGGACCCAACAAGGATGTAGTAACTGTCATTAGCTATGGACATCCTTTTGTTCCCGCTGCCTTCTACGGTACCATTGCTGCTGGTGGAGTATACTCCGCAGCCAGCCCGTCATCGACAGTTGCGGACCTAGCTCGACAGGTTACTGTTGGCAATAGCCGTTTGATAATCTGCGGGAAAGAAATGAAGGACGTCGCGTCTCAGGCAGCCAAGCAGTGCAACCTACCACTCGACCGAGTACTGGTGTTGGAATCGGATCCTTCTTTTAAATTCTGCTCTCTTGAGGGCAATGTTAATGTGATTTCCGAAGGGAAATTGACGTGGCAGCGAATCACAGATCCGACGGCGTTGACAGAGAGTCTCATCGTGATTCTGTGGTCGTCCGGCACAACTGGGCTTCCCAAAGGTACGAATTTCGGCATACCTGAAAACGCAGTCAAATGGCGCATGGGCATTAAAATTTGCTGACGTTATGAAATATCAGGCGTCATGATATCTCACGAGAACTTGGTTGCAGAGTCCTACATACCGAGCCTCTCAGTGCGTGCATGGGCAGCGAAAGAGATTGAAGCGGGCAGAGAACTTCCTGGTGTCCGCACTTTAGCTCACTTGCCCATCAGTCACATCGCAGGTTTGTTCGGCTATCTAGTTGGTCCTCTTTACGCCGGCGGTCTCGTGATTTGGATGGGTAAATACGAGTGGAAGAAGTTGCTGACTTACGCCAAACAATATGAAATCACAACCTTTTACACTGTCCCTTCTATTTTCCTGCGCATCTCGAAATCTCCTGATGTCACTGACCACTTTAAGCACATCACCCACGCTGTAACTGGAGCGGCGCCCATGGATGCAGAGCTGCAGGTTGCTGCAAGTAAAAAGGTGGGAGATGGCAGCAAGACCTTAATTGGCCAGACGTGGGGGTTGAGTGAAACGACCGGTTCAATTACAATGATGCCGAAAGGGGTGTATGACGAGACTGGCTGTGTTGGATATATTCTACCAAATGTTGAGCTGCGGTAAGAGTTTGTGATGATTGCCCACGTCCGATAAATTTGTCCTTCATTTCCAGATCTAAAAAAATTCTGTTTGTACTTCAGGATGGTCGATGATGACTTCAACGACGTCGAGACGGGGCAACCAGGCGAGCTCTTGGTTCGCGCCCCGATGGTGACACAGGGCTATTACAAGAACCCTCAAGCGACGAAAGACGCTTTCCATGACGGTTGGTTTTGCACTGGTGACATTGGCGTCGTAAGAAATGGGAAATTCTACGTCGTGGACAGGAAGAAGGTAGTTCTGATTACTTATTTCCCATTCTCTCCGCCCCCATCTTCTCCAATGCGATTACGGTCTTCTAAACCTAGAGTCTAAATTTTCCCCTCCAGGAACTCCTAAAATACAAAGGCCTGCAGGTTGCTCCGGCCGAAATCGAGGGCCTCCTGGATACCCACCCAGAGATCAAGGAGGCCGCCGTCTGCGGCATCCCCAGTCCGGAAGAACCAGGTTCGGACATTCCGCGTGCATACATCGTGGCTGACCCGGCCCGTATCAGTGAGCAGGAGGTTAAGCAGTTCGTCAAGGAACGACTGGCGCCGTACAAGCAGTTGCGCGGGGGGGTGGTGTTTGTGGATGAGCTACCCAAAAATGCCGTTGGGAAATTGTTGCGAAGGGAGTTGAAAGAACGGGCGAAGAAGGAATTGGGATTGAATACAAATGGGGGTGCGAAGCTGTGATTGGACCATTTACCTCGGAATTTTGCTTGTTGGGGACCATTTCATATCATTTTTGACTTTAGTTTGACCATCCGTGGTTTCAGGAATTTGCGGGCGATGAGAAAGATTTTTCTAGATATATACCAAAACATATAGCTAAATAGACCGTTAAAACTACATCAACTTTTTGAATCAAACTGACGACTTTTGCAATAAATAATATTACCCGGGGACTTGATTGTGAACTTCCAAATTTTTTACATCCCATCCCGTTTTCTCTAGGACATTTTTAATATCGAACTCTTTCCCATCAGAAAAGCCACCTGCGACTTTCTTCATGTGGGATAGTTATTTACTGGATTCATACTCGCAAGTGAGATAACCAGTTATGGTTTTCTGGATATATTAGGTAACTAACCTTTACGATCTGGGTTGGACGTACGGAAGAGAGAGGGGCTTCGGGCTGGAATACCAGGTAAGAAATAGTTAATCGTACCTCTGGTTTAAATAGAGAACTCTCCGGTCGGTCACTGTTTTCTTCGTCTTTCTTCGATTGATAACCTCGAAAGAGCTGCCGAGGCACGTCGCCAGCATATTGAGAACGAAATCCCCGGATAACTAACACCAGAGCCACCGAGTGGTAGTATGTAACTATGGAAAGCCAGCTATGAGCTGGAGGGTTCAGCCCGCGTATTTACACGGTAGTTAAACTAACTCCAAGACAACAACCCCAACTCGAGCAACAAGGGCTTCTCTTGAATACTTGGAAGTAAGTACATGATCCCGCCCCAGAATATTCCTCGCAGGAACATCCACGACCTCACAGGTCATGGCTGAGAGCGGAGTCAGTTAACTTCTCCCCACATTTAAGCAATTCAACGATTAAAGCTCTGCCGCTTAACGCTTGAGGATACCGAGGTTAAAACCGTCAATTGTCTGTACGAGACATAGCCACCAAGCACAAGCCCGAGGGACAAAGATGTTTATCCTTAGGAAGCAGAGGATAACTGCTCATAAACATGCTCGATCTCAAGGAAAATCTTCCACAAACTTGTTTTCATTTCCTGGTTCTTATTCCCTTCAAATCAAGTGCTCAACGACCAGGTAGAAACTCTCCAAGATGTCCTCCCAAGCCGATCTAAGCGTCTCCAACCTCTTCTCCTTCAATAGCCATGTAGCCCTGGTCACTGGAGGCGCCTCCGGGCTTGGGGAGATGGCCGCGCAAGCGCTGGTGCAAAACGGCGCCAGAGTCATTATCGCCAGTCGTAAGGAAGCCGAATTGAAGAAATGCACAGATCGATTGAACAAACTCGGCCCGGGAACATGCGAGTACATCGTCGCCGATTTGAAGGATAAGGCTGGCTGCGATTATCTGGCTGCAGAGGTCAACAAGAGAACAGACAAGCTAACAGTTTTATTAAACAATACCGGCGTTACATGGTGAGTGCACTCGGAGCCTCCGGGGGGGGACAAGAGGGAAGATCTTCCATGTTGCCCAAACTGGCCATTTTCTAATCGGGGCATGAGGATATAATCAAATAGGGGTGCATCATATGAGGATTTCCCCGAAACTGCTTGGGATAAAGTTATGGCATTGAATGTCAAATCCGTATTTTACTGTGAGTTCAACCCAACAGTCGTATGACCAACTATATTTGCCAGATCACTGACTTAAAACAACAGTGACTGTTGGGTAAGCAGAGGACCGCTGCAGAAGTTATCCCCTTTTCGGCGTGTGGAATGTGAGACGACATGAACCTGACATATACCAAAACACAGCGTCCTACCTCTTCTCAAAAAGGCCGCCTCTCCTCACATGCCAAGCCGTGTGATCAATATCTCCTCAATGGCAGGAATCTCAACACTTGACCCCACAGCCACAGGTGATGGAGGACTCTCCGCCCCAGGAACGGGTCCCTTCAGCTGTATGTGGTCCTCATCCCTCTCTTTCTTGGACCCTATCCGTTCTCGGTAAACCCTCGTTCCTAACCATAACCTCTTTTTCTTCTCACAGACGGTCCATCAAAGGCAGCTTGTATCCACCTTTCCCGACAGCAGTCGTCAAAATTCGCTCCGATGAACATCATGGTAAACTGCGTGTGCCCGTAAGCCAATCACCCTATCTCCAACCTTACATGCATGCAAAAAAAAATATTTTTCAACACAAAAAAAAGAAAAGAAAAAAAAAAAAAAAATTCAGAATGCCTATTGACAATTGCGATGTATAGTGGTGTCTTTCCCTCCCGCATGTCGAATTTCGGCATCGAGAAATACCTTGGTACGCTTTTACAGGCGCAACCCACCGGCCGTGTCGGAAAGCCAGAGGACTTTGCTGGTCTGATTCTGTTCCTTTGCAGCTATGGCGCCTCCCATTTGACCGGTAACGTTATTGAGCTGGATGGTGGAAGTAGCCGGAGTGGATGGAAAAGTGGTTCGAGAGAGAAACTGTAGGGTTGAGGTTGTTTAAGGAGGCGGAACGTAGATATGTGATCCTATGTTTGAGCTGCAAGTATGAGGAGGTCATTTCTCTTTACCAGGTTTCTTTTACTACCTTTTAGTTCATTGGCCATTGTGCACGAATGTGTGTGTGTGTGTGTGTGTGTGCCAGTATGTACATCGAAAAAATATACAAGAATCACAGTGCAATATTAAATGAAAGTTGCAATAAATCATCTGAGCTGTCAGTGAGGTCATCTCGAATACTTGCCTTACCTGTTTCAGACCATCGCTGAACGAATAGTATACAAACTACCCAAGTACGTCTCAAAATCTGTGCTGCTCACATTCCTTTTGCCAGACCATAAAAACTCGTTCAGCATGTCGGCTCAGTAGTTGATGAGCTTCTGCCGGTCTCTGCTTCGATAATTGGCAAAGTCAACTCCAACTTTTCTCGAGGACTCCCGTGAGATGCCCCTAGCAGAGTTTCCCATATAGTTGTCTCTCATATCCCATTTTAACGTCCTATTTAATCAGAACAGCAACAGTGGTGCATCGATCACAGCCACCGAAGACGGCGGGCAATGTAAACTCCCACCTCCGATAACCCTAGTGACATCCATATCCCATAGTCAGCGGCAACGAAAATCCCCACGGGAGGAAAACTCCCAGAGTTGATCCAAACGTGGCCAGGAGAATGCATGTGGCGACGTCCCACCCGTCGATGACAGCGTCCATCGCCATGCATCCAGCCACAGATGCCACGTTGAAGAGAACAGCCGTCAGCACATCCATGCTACCTCGTGCACCCACGGCGCGAGCGTAACTAGGAAGATAAAAGGACGGTTAAGAAGAAGCCCAGTGCCTCGATGACATTGCAAATCTCTAACAGGGCCAGAGTCGAAGTCAAGAGGAAATAAAAGTTCATGGGTGATGGTCCGGGACGTTTCTAGGTATCGTAGCTAACAAACATCGATGTACAGAGTATTTATGTACTGGCAAAGCAAATATAAAAAGGGCGTATGACATAACTAGCAACGTTAACTAGTTAACTAGTTGCCATTATTTATTCTTTTAGGAAAACACAGGTTTTGGTTGAGTTTTGGGGCAAGGTTAGCTAGTTATTGGACGGACGGAAATGTGTCGACGACGGGCGTGTCAGGTTCATTTACACTCCAATTCATTTCGATAGAAAGATTGCAGATTAGAGCTCGTTCGAGAGCCCGTCTGTTCTTGTTTAAAGACGCTTGATATTTAATCCACGCACCTGTGAAAAGCGCCAGCTCTCTTTTGACTATTTTTTCCGACGGAACTGATCCTCTCAAGGTTGATTTATTTGCGGCCGAGGGACGGGGTGACCGAGCAGTGACCAAACGGTTCCTACAAAACGTCTATCTCTTATGTGCTCATCTCCCCAGTTCAGACCTTATACCTGCCGGTATTCCGCCAAATAAAAGAAGTCGTTGAGCATGCAAAGTTAACAGTGCTTATGGCGACAGTTTACCGCGGTTCTGTGGAGGTAGTTATCCAGGCATACTGTCGAAAACACCTTGATATATTATTACATTTTGTTCCACTGACGTCGCACAGAAATAATATTTTTCAAAAAAAAATAAAAAAAATAAAAAATAAATAAATAAATTTATACGGCACGATGCTCCGAATCCAAGGTCGCACGGCTCACTGAATATTCCGTTGTCTTGGTTATGTACTGCCCGCTGCTATCTGTTTCCAGAATTTGCTGCTGATCGTCCTCCATGCTTCGAGTATCAATTTGCGACGACTGGCTCATATCCTTCATAACATATGCTGTGTGATTCTGGGAATCGATCTCCGCAAAGTCGAAGCCCCCCATTGAGGCGTGCGATCTAGAGCGCGAGCTGCGATCGCGGTATCGCTTTCTCGCCGAAGAATCCCCATTTCCATATCCGTAGGTGTTACCCGGTGTTGATGAGCCACTCACAACACCGAACTTCCGCATAACTTTCTCGAATACCGACTTCAGAGCTGGTAATGATGCGGCGAAAAGACCAGCATTGAATTCGGCTCTGCAGTCATATTAATTAGAGACGTTACTGGATAAGGGCATGAGGGACAAGCTCACTTCACCCAGAGCGTCAAATTAACGGCCGTATACGTTGGATCTGTAACATTCACGAGATTGGGCAGCTCTGTGGCTTTTGCAATAGCACATGCAGTGGCACTACGAAAGAGGTCAACAGATCGTCCACGGTAAGTGGTAAGCAAAATGCAAATGCCCTACATCAAGCCGACTAAAAACACCCCTCGCAATGCCCATCTATTGTATAGGGAAACTTTGACTTTGGAGAGGTATACAAGAGGTCCAATCGAAAATGCCAAATCCGTGACAATATTGCCAACTTAGTATTATCAGCACAACACACACAAGGTACTGTTTGGGTGATATTCCTCACCGGTTTGGATATATGACATGACTAAATTAACCTTGGCAGGCCAGCACGTCCCGGGGATCTTTGGGTCTTTGTTCCAAATTTTCTTCATTGGCCGGCAGCCTCCAAAAGTTGTGGGGAGAACGGTCAAGTTAACGAGTAGACTGAGTACAATGCACGCCGCGATTACGATGTTGAAGAACTTGCTCAGATCGAGCCGGAGTAGCGAAGTGCCGAGTCCAACTTTCAAAAGCGCCATCGCAATACCATTGCATAAAATCGCGAAAGTTGAACATTTCATCGCCTGGACCACGTCGGCAATGTCCAACGTCAAGAACGGCTTCCCGCTTCCATAGACGACTCCGGCAATAGTTAAGCCTTGTCCCGCAAGGCCTGACAGCTGGTAAAGATATCAGTCAATAGCCCTATGGTTCACTGGATCGCTCAGCACATACCATTGCGAGAAACAGGAACGTGTCATCCCATCCCAATGTCCTGGCCGATAGGTGTCGGACCACCAATCGAGCGCAAACGAACACAGCACCAAATATGGTCAAAGCCAGAGTCACCGCAAATATCTCTGGTCCACGGTCACGCTTGGAAGCCACGTCTGCAGCATCCATCTTTCACAGCGAAACCCCCGATTTTTCCAGTATTGGAGAAAATCGAGCAGGATTCCCCCCACCCTGAAATCACAAATGCTGTTCCAATCTGGAGATCAGCCCTAATCATGAAACTTTTTCAGATCTGTGATAACGATTGAAACTTAGGCTGGCAAGCAAAACGCACATAGATATCAATATGAAACAATGGAGCAAACAATGGTCTGTATTGTATGAGTTCTGAAGGATGAATAACAAGGGGCATGCAAAAATTCGCCTCCGCAGATGGACCTCGAGAAGTTAATAACCATCAGGGTAACCATGCTGTTTGGCTACAGTATGTGGAGAGGGTCCGTACATGGAGCACCATACTGGGACTAATGCCCGAGGCAGAAACGACCCTTGACAGAATTCAGGTGGTGACCACCAATTTCCTTGCTAATGACTCTAGAACAATAAGAACAATGGACGACTCCCAGATCTCATTTTTTTAAAGTCAAACACTCCCAACGATATAGTTTCGACGGAGGGATTGGGCGTCGATATGACTGGTCCAAGTACCAATTTTCGACTCCAAATAATCATCTGTTGCTGCCAAAACCCTTGTCGTAAATCCACAGGCCAAGAGAGTTGCAACCTTTACTATGAATATCTCGTGGTGCATCAGAGTGGATCTCTTTAATTTCGAGCTGGTTCAAAAATCGCAACACAGCTTGCCCCCTCAAACTACCGCCGATAGACCAATAAAAACCCAATCTTGTGATACAAACACGTCGATTGAGGAAACAAGAATTGAGCATTGAATGCTGTACAGGAGCCTCCAAGGCAATTCTGGTTCAAACGTTCTTTGCTGAAGCGGGATTATTTGTGTTATGCAGAGCGATTGTAGACCAGCGCAGGCCGAGTGAAATTATCGAGACACCTACCAACGCCTGGAGTGTGTGGATCGATCCATCGCTATACAGTCAGTGGAGTGCATAGTTTTTGTTTTTTCCAAGAGAACATCTCAGTCCTCCAATCAGAGTTTGGATCTACTTCTGGACTCTCAGCGACAACGTCCCTGGATCTGAAATGTGCGGATGCTTGGCTCGTTCTCCATAGAGGTGATGGGTGGATGTGAAATCCGGCTCCTCAAAGATCTACACTTGACTCGATCTTCTGATGAAGGAACTCAATCAATGATCGATCACCTTAATGCCATATAATAATACTAACCCAGGCTCCCGCATATCCCCAAACCAAAAGCAAAGCTCGCACACAAAGATCGGGTGGAAGGGACAGAGGATTAAAAAGCTGCGCACTATATGCAGATTAGCGTGTAGGATTAGACGCTACTGGGAGAATACGTTCTCACTTATTATAAACTTCCTCGGAGCTGCCATTCCCGTAAGCCTGCCGTCCGGCGACCTCCTCGGTTAATCCAAAACTTTGGATTACAATGTCTCCTCCGGAATATTTCACTTGACTTTGAATGGATGAGATTCTCTTTTTTACACGTGTAGAGGCCGTTTTAGGAGCCCTTTTTTTTTTTGGCTTTTGAACCGTAGCGGTGGCTCATCCCAAATTTCTCACCGACTTTCTTCCCACATGTTTTGCAGTTGTTTTCCTGCCCAGTCGGAGAAGTCCTTTATGGGGCTCTTGCTGTTGGACTCTGGAGAGACTAAACTTTGCCCAATCGGACACTATGAAACCAAGCGTGCAGCTCGCATCCTTTGATGTTTGAACTTGAGGAACCGACCCGTATACACCCGGCAAACAAGGTCGACAACTATACGTTAGCGGCATTTTCGGTTTTTTACCTCAATTCTCCTTCCTCTGCCCCAGGCTCTTCATGGAAACCATGATGCTTTTAAATGTGTTCAGCCACTCCTTCGCGAGACATTTCAGAGAACGATGAGATTTCCTCTAAACGTGTGATATTTTGAGACCCACATTTTTAGATTTACGAAATAGGACTGAATCTCTTGCAAACCAGCAAGAGAGTATCAAGAGGAAAGGTCCCCGCTTCTTTCAGAGACTTCGTCCGTTGATTAGCGAATAATGCCGAATTGAGTTTTGCGAGTCTACAAAAAAACTTTCAAAGTTTGTGGGCTAGAGTCCCAAAGATTAGGCTCAGGGACGACCCCATCTAGGCAGTCAGTAAGCTTCTATCTTCAGGCGCTGTGCGTGTACTTGGATTTTGGACTAAAGATAACCAGAGTCACTCACTGAAGTCCAACTTTGTTCAGCAACAGATGCCAAATAAACGGCCTTTGTTTTCATGTTTGTGCGGTCTTCATGCCAGAGTTCATGGACCACCCCACTTGGGGTTGTTCGCATGGATGTCAAACTGTGGATAACAGAATCTCGCGAAAAGTAACGGCCTAGCAAAATCCCAAGAGCAGGTTCTCTTTGTTGAATCCTTCAAATTCTCCATCCAATTCCGTAGAACCTTTTCTGAAATAAATCTGACAGCGCCTCCGCCGCAAGCCACATAGCTCGCCAAATTTTCCAAGTCTGAGTGTTTTGCCGGTCTGCTCAGCGCCAGTTCTAATTATGAAGGTGGAAGGACCTCGGGAATGCTTCAGAAACCTAGCCAGGCTCTGCCTAGTCTTACCTCTACCCATTCTAGAATAATTTTACCAATAATCCGGCAAACCACTTTATCCATCCCATAACTTGCATTAAATAAAAACAAGAACCTGTTCACAACCCGTCAGGCCTCCTCAGACAACTTGGGGAACATTGGGTGTCCGATTTTAGATATTTGGAAGTAGTCGTGCAAAACAACTTATCTTATCCGTATAGCCGTAACGATATGAATATTCAACACCAGGGAGGTGACGGAGATGAAGTCAGTTTCTCATCTTCCACCATCTTGCTTGCCCAGGCCCATTTCGCCCAGCTCTGAGTGTGGCTGCGCCATCAAACTCTGGCGGCTACCCTAATCTCCTCACTGCCGCCCATCGCAGCTATTGGATGCCCAGCGATCGTGACAAGGTTCATTATCTGACCCTTCTCCGCAAAGAAGCATATACAATGGCTCGTTATGCGCTTGAGAACATCCGCGATATCGGTACCGCTCGGCAGGAACTGCTTCCGTGCACAAAACAGAGCCCAGTACGAGAAGGCAACTACACCCTCATATAAGTGCTTATTGTAAAGCCAACCCAACTTCAGTCCCTAGTTATTTCCACACCTAAAGCCAATGTCATTGGTGCTGCGAAATAATCACCCCACCTCACTACCTACGTAGAGGCATAAGCGATGAGATGGCGAATTTACCAGCAGGTAAAGCAGACGCTCCATCACCACAGAGATGTAGTGGTCGGGTCTTCTGCTTCCTGACCACAGACCATATATGAATACGGTGTCATTTCTCTAGTTTTGCTCCACATCACTCAGTCGCTCTTTTAGATTTTCTTTTCGGTCGTTTTGTCAGATTCCGCCTCCTTGCTCCTATTTATCGAATGGTCTTGAACCATGTTGCATTCATTTATTCTCTCCAGAGCTTCTCGTAGTTGGTGGTGTGCCTTGCTCCTTTTTGCTTCCCTCGTCACGTCTTCGGCGGTGACGAATGGCCGCGGGAAATGGGAGAAACGTAATGACAATGAGTATGATTACATCATTGTTGGAGGTGGATTAACGGGCCTCGTCGCTGCACATCGGTTATCAGAGAATTCGCGTGGTGAGTTCTTCAGGGTGTTGGATTTCCTTTTCGGTCAATCGACCAGTCTTCAATAGGATAATGATATCGGAAGTGTCAACTGGGGCCGCTGAATCACTTGAAACTAAACTGCGCGCATGTGCCGAGCAGTATCCGTCCTAGTCCTCGAGTATGGCGTTATTGATCGAAGCGATGCCACCAAAATTCCATACATGGGCTCTTTCTTGAATTTCCCAAATATGTTCAACATCACAACGGCTCCAGAGCCTGGTCTTGAAGGGAGAAGCTATTCAGTCAGAGCTGGCTCGGTTGTTGGTGGTGGAACAACTGTTAATGGTAAGTATAGCGTTCCTGAGGACATCCTATAAAACCGTTCTCGTTGGCTAAAAGAATTATGCTCCATCTAGGCATGACATACGACAGAGCATCAGCTGCCGATTACGACTCCTGGGAAAAACTTGGGAATCGAGGCTGGGGCTGGCAAGGTCTCCTTCCGTATTTCAAGAAGAGTGCCCAGTTCACACCTCCGCCGCAGGAGGTCGTTGATGAATACGAGTACACCTATGATCAGTCCGCCTACGGTAGCCGCAGCCCGTTGAAGATTACGTACCCCCACTGGCAAGCCCCAGACCTCTATAAGATGTCCGATGCATTTACTGAGATGGGAATCCCGTTCCGCAATGAACACGCTAGCGGGGACGCGATCGGCAAGTTTTGGGCTCCCGCTTCCATCGACGCCAAAACCATGACGAGGTCGTCTTCGTTGACAGCTTACTATGACACTGCCAGCTCCCGCGATAACCTCAAGTTACTCACTGAGCATCAAGTCATCAGGCTCACTTTTAACGAAAACAGCAAAAACGTATCAGGCGTAAAAGCTATTAACAGAAAATCAAATAAAGAGGTAACTTTCCGTGCTAAAAGGGAAGTTATTCTGGCCGCGGGAGCTATCCACACTCCTCAGCTGCTGCAACTGAGCGGTATTGGGCCCAAAGCAGTTGTAGAAGCCGCTGGCATCAAGTCCAAGGTTGACTTACCTGGTGTCGGAAGCAATCTCCAAGATCACCCGGTCGCTTACTTGAACTGGAGGGTTGCCAACAACTTCCCGGAGCCAAACGCCATAGCGATAAACGCCACCTTCGCTGCGGAAGCGCTGGAGCTATACAATAATCTCAAGACTGGCCCGTACACCAAGGCACAGACTAACATGATTGCATTCCTAACCTTGTCCATGATCACCGACGACGTCGATGCTATGATCAAGAGCCTGAATGAACAGAACTCAGCCACTTATCTTCCAACTGTGTACTCCAACAGCGCTCTTCTTGTCGGATTCGAAGCTCAGCGCAATATCCTCGCTAACCAACTTAAAGAAGGCTCCGTCGCAGCGATGGAACTACCAATCTCGGGTTCAGGGTCGGTCCCCAACTCGATCCAAAAGCCTCTCAGCCGTGGAACAGTCCACCTCAACCCCAACAACCCTCGTGGCGAACCTATCGTAACGTAAGTTTTACCATTTCAAAATGGAAAGAAGAAGAAGAGGAGGAAGAGGAGGAGGAGGGTCAAGGCAAAACCAATCATAAGTCACTTGAACACTAACAAACAATCTCCCACCCAAATAGATACCACGCCCTCAAAAACCCCTTCGACCGCGCCTTAATAGCTACCTTCGTCAACTTCACGCGCCGCTACTTCAAAACCACAGCCCTCGCCAGTCTAAAGCCTGAAGAAGTCTCGCCCGGCGTAGAGGCGCAAACAGAGGATGAAATCATCGCGAAACTCATTGCAGGCGGTCCACTGTCATTTGGCCCCTCGTTCGCACATCCCAGCTGCAGTTGTCCCATGATGCCCCGGGCCAAGGGAGGCTGCGTCTCTGCGGATTTGTTGGTGTACGGAACGAAGAGGCTTAGCATCATCGACGCGTCCATCATGCCCATTATCCCCGCTGCTCATTTGCAGGCGAGCGTGTATGCCATTGCGGAGAAGGCAGCGGATATTATTAAGAGGAGAGGTTAGAGAATTGGTTAGGTGGGGACGGGCACCCCTCTTTTTTGGCTTCATACTCCGACGGTGTCTGTATTCGACTTTTCTTTGCTTTTTATTAGGTTTTGACGTGTATTAATATAATCATCATCTGTTCTTGTTCGGTCAGTGGAATAATACAAAACAATAACCCACGTCACTCTGGCGGTCATCGCATGGCTTAAATCCTGCTTCCACATTCGTCATCCATTCAAAAGTCGTACAGGTCAGGGCCCTCTAGCCTTCAACATCAGACGTTAATAGTTCTCTAACTGCCAATCGACGTCAGTAACAAGAACCGCACCCCCATGTATAACTTCTTCCTCCTTTTGTATACATCCCATCAACGCGCTTCGGGAAAGCTTCCCAACATCATCACCTCAAGACCACTCATATATCCATCAATGCCCCGGACGCGATTTCGCAACAAGTAGCATCCACCCGCCGTCGTCCCAACAGAAATATCCCTTCCTCCCAAACCCATCCCGGCCAGCCAATAAACTTACCCATCATCATCATCATCATCATCATCATCATCATCTCCGCATCTCATCTTAGACCCCGCTCCCATACAATCCGCAAATATATAACCCGAGAAGCAGTCATATGCGCTGCTCGCGTCGATCTGTTGTCGTCTCCGCCGGGCTCGGCTATTCATTCCTCCGGCCGGCTGAGCTAAGTGGCTCGTCTTCTTGGCTAATTAGTTAGCCGCCCGGCGGTCCTTGACTATTACACATATGGTATAGCGGTGGCGGTGCCGAGCATGGCGCCACCGCTAACCAGGTTCGGTCTAGTTACCCGCGCGAGGCTCTGGTTCATAGATCTGTTGTCATCATAGTTGGACAGCGGGAGAGATACGGAGTGAGTGGGATGTTAATTTGAGGGAGAAGTTGTATGTGTATTAGAGGACGGGGGATTGAACGGGCGAATTGGATGTGAATTATCATCTTGGTTTTATGATGTTTTATCTCTCTTCTTCTTTAATACTAATTTTGTTGGGTTTGGGTTCCTTTTGGACTTGCATTTGGCAATCTATATATAAATATATATATGGAGTAGGATGCATGTATATTTTCATAAAGAGAACAATCAACCCTGACCTAAAATCGATATTATTCTCTTTTTTCGCATCAGTCAGTTTAATTATACAACTAACAAGCGCATTTAAAAATACATATAAACTCAAGTCAATGAGACCGGTTGGCGTTGATTTTGCACTCTGCAAAAATGAATTGAGCGCAAAAGCGTGTTGAAGCACTCATCAGCTCCTGCTCCAAATCATACACAGATGTCTGATACAAAACTCCATAATAGAAATAGTAAGTGAATTTAAAACAAATATACCTTGTATATCCACTACTATCTATTATTCGATTCCAACAGATGAGTATGTATTCTGTGGGCGAGTGCCGGCTAACTACCAAATTCTCAACACCAGGAACCATCAGCCTAAAAAACACTTCGCGATTAAAAACACAACGTTGCCCTGTCAGATCAATCTCCCTGAAAGACCAGATATATAGAAATACCCGAAACCTCATAGATATCCCATTCCCACACCAGCAGAGCTCGGTGGATCTTGAACAAAGCATAAACACAGCAAGCATATCTCATGGAACGCGCCGGATAGGCCATAGTGAAACGGCAGGTGTGGATGGCCAGACATTTTCTGAATTATAGGTATTACAGAGCTATACGAATGTAGAGTAGTTGGTGAGCATCTAGTTCTGTTCTATTTATTGTCTTTATCTGCAGTGGAAATTGTTTTGGAGTTGGAAAATTTATCTATTTGATTGACTGCGGAGGAAGAAAGCCCAGGGTTCAATTTTGAAGCATGCTTCGTTCAGAGATCCTATCCTCCCTCTCTCTCTCTTCTTCTGGTCTATTTCTCTCGAAAGAACTGCGAAAATCTTAACAGGAAGCTGAATAGCAGTCACATTAATGATTTCTGAGATTTATTTCCGTATAAATTTCTCGTTGTGCATGCGATAATCTCATGGCCAGTTTCCACTTGGTCGGCATAGTTCAGGTGTCCCACAATGGCCGGCCTGTGAAACACTCCTTGAGTCTCCACGAGCGCATCGCAATTCTGACAGGTCAAAAAATTGCATTTCAAACCCGCAGCTTCCATTTCTAAATGAAATAAATAGCAGAATAGTAAACAAAATAAAATGGGAAACAGTATTTCGCAGCGTTGAGCAAAAGTTTTGCTTGAGCTGGTTGAACTTCTTTTCGCTTCGGTTGTGCAAATTTAGCGAGAGGGCCTGCTGCCCTGGTTATTTATGCGAGGAAACATAAAAATCCCAAATTAATGGAAAGGAGGGGATTTAGTAAATAAATAACATGGCAATCGAATCTGTGAGCAGTGGAGAATCAGATGATTACAGTATGAAGGCTTGAGTCCGTGGCGTGGTTGAAAGATCAGAGATTGCAGTTTTGCAGTCTTGTTACGAGCGAAGTATACCACAGGTCGTGATCCTCAACGGCATGGGGGAAAGTGATGGTAAATGCAAAATATGCAAATTAGACAGAACCGGATATCCCAGGCATTTCTACAGATGCTATAGATATTTCCCTTTCTTAATCATTTCCCCTCTTCAAGATCTTTGCGATGAAGTTGGTTTGGTTTGGTTGAGAGATCATGAGTTGTGGACTGATTCTGTGATCTAATGGTAGCCAAAGCCAGGGTGTATTTGACAATGTTCTTTAGTGATGCAGCCACAACGATAGGTGTTTGAAGGGTGAAAATATAAAAATACGATGGAGATAGGTATAGATATTAGCATGAACCAGTAAATAAGATAGAACTACTCGTGGGTTGAGAAAGATCAGAGATGAAGTAATTTAAAGGGGTGATTGGAGGGGTTGGTTGGTTTTTGGTGATGCGCAGATGTCAGCCGGTAACAAAGATTGAGACTGTGGGGAAGGTTTTGTAGATCAACCAGCCTCACGACTGAAAGCGAACAGCTGCTGTTCTCCTCTGTCGAATGGCAAGGAATGTATCGAAGCATGGAAAATAGGAAGGGATAGATAGTAGACTATTAAACAACCTTGACATGGTAAATAAACGGTCCTTTGTCTGTGGTGCTCTTCAGTGGTTAGTATGTAGGCCTGCTCATCAAGGGCCTGATCCTGCTCTTCGTAAACAGAGAGGATAATATATATATATATATATATATCGTGGAAATGTAAAAGAAAAAAACTTGGAAAATTTGGAAAATCTGTTGAATCTATTATCAGATATTGTTCCGGCTTTCAAAATAGAAACATCATTCAAAATGTGAGAAGCTGTTGGCATTTCTCCTGTTGCATCGTTGGACATCATCAACATAGAATGGATGATAAATGGTGAGACCAGAAGAGAATCAATATCTAGTTTCCTAAGTTACCGACCTTGCGAAGGGCCCAGTCAGACCAGTGGTTCCAAATATCAGGTCGAACGCGAACAGCACATTATTCCCGAGCAGCCATTCAGTATTGTTGTGGGAGGACATAGATAGAACCAGCAGCGAGCCTGTCGATGGGCTGAGCGCGGTTTTGAACTCCATCCACATCTGCCATCCACGCAGCAGGCATTTTACAGATACATGCATGGGCCACCAACCTGGGTAAAAACGTAGGTTCCTGAAAGGGGTGCCTCAACTATATTCAAACAGGTACAAGATAAAAAGGTGTAGCAGAAACTTTGTCAACGTCGGAGAGATAGTTACTTAAAAGTCACTCACTACAAAAACCAAGCCGATTTCTCCCTGATACGAACTTCAAAAGTCTTATGCTCAGCCGACAACAGAATACCGGACAGAATATCCCAGCAGCCAGACACGAGAGGGACGGTGAGAGCTACGCTGAATCAGGGGATCAGTGGGACACACTGGCCAACATGAACAAATGTGCAGCGTTGGCCAGTGTTGGGGGGGGGGCGGCTGGAGTGATCCTGCGCAGTGCCCTGTGCTGCTATAAAAGGCGCAGAGCCCCGCTGTCTCGCCCACGCTTTCCCTCGCCCACTCCCACCACCTCTTCTCCCACCACAAACATCCTACAACTGCCAAACAACAAACAAACAAACAACCACCCCAACAATCAATCATCATCACCGTCATCGTCATCAACAACCACCAACCACCTGTATACAACCAGGTCTACTACACCCACACTGTTGTCCTCTCTGTTGATCATCCATCTGTCTTAATCCCCACAAACACGACAAAATCAAATCACTATGCCTCCCAAGAAAGCTGCCGGCTCCAAGTCCTCGGGCACCGCTACCCACGCTTCCTACAGAGGTATTGTTCCCCCTCCTGATCTTCCACCACCACACCCATCTCCCGTCCTCTCATCGCTATATCCGTGATCGCGTGCTCTTGCTGATTCCACCCATATAGATATGATCAAGGATGCCATTATCAATGTGAGTCCATCATTTTTGCGCCACGGTCGCTTGCTGTTCGCAGGCCCGCGTGATCGCCTAAAAAGCTAGCTTCGTCCGCAAATGCCAAAAAGTCGCCACGTCGACTGGCAACTTGC